TCGCCAAAACATTTTTTCCGTGAACTAGGTATTCGGTTTCACGGACCGAAGTTATCGCGACTGATATGAAACAACTTCTCATGATTGTGCTGCATCAACGCACAACTGATGGTGTAATCACTTGCATCGCTGACCACATAAAAACACTTATCATGGTGTGCAATCGAGATGATTACAGGCTCTTTTTCACATCGGCAAATACCGCCTGATGGTCTACTAACCATTTCCACTCAACATCCCTTTTAAAAGAGTGTCATTAGGGGTTGCGTCGACGCTGCTTAACCTGTATTTGTGCAAATAGTTGGCCAAACCCAACAATTGTCTAGCTGTTTGCATTGTTTGGCACAAACCTATCCTCGATAGCTTTGTTTTTTTATCTACGCAAACGCCACTCTTGCTTACAAAGCAACCAAAACTGGGGATCTCAGTTGAAAAGAAAGTGCCCTTTTTAAGTTAGCGTACAATTAGTTCTCTTGCGTAACTTGGAAGACATTATGAAGATGGTCAAGATGAAACATGCGTTGAAACCTCAATTGGCTCGTCAACAATGCTCGATACACAAGTCGCAAGCACAGTGTGCACACGAGTGTAAGTCGTAATGACCTTGACAAAGCTTCAAGAATTTGGCGCAAAATTCACTCTATGGTGGTTCAAACTCCTTCTTTAGCTCGATCTTGAAGTGTATGTAGCTGAGAAAGCAGTTTAGATCGCCTAAACGCTTGCTATATACCCAGCTATTTGCACGATCCTCAAGGTTGGACATCACGGACAACGCTTGCTACAGAGATTGTCTTGCATTGATTGCTGCATTCAGCTCGACAAAATATTGTGAGAAAAGCTCGTTTCATTACTACGGTACAAAGGCACAATCATCTTCAGAAGCATATTTCTTCACGAAGAAACGGGGTTTACGACCCGCTTTCGAGATTCCATGATCTCATGGTGCATGAAACTGACTGCCGCGTACTTCTGATTATCAGGAGAGGACGACTGCAGTAAGTTGGCTACAGCAGCTTCTCCGATGGCTTCTCGCATCCGCTCAAGTGCTATCCACTCATGTGAAAGCAAATGACATCTCCTTCGTCAGCTCCTCAATTTGCGATACTGATGCACCGAGTAGTACTCCAACTCCCTCCATGTCGCTTGAACAAGGAAAAGAGTACGGCTTGGACTAATATGCGCGACGTGCTTATCAACGGCGTTGTTAAGCCAAAATCGAGTGTCTTTGAAAAGACCACTCGAAGTGCTGCCAGGTGCAAGAGAACACTATTCGAAACAATCCCTCAAACACAACACACACGCTTGCGTGACGAGGAAGCGAATTCCCGAGGTGGAGGGAGAAGGACAGCGCCGACTTGGAGGGAAGAAAATGACTTAGGGCTTGAAGGCAAATTTGCAACTGAATTTAATGAGTTGTTGGTTCCTAGAGTCACAACAAACACCCAAGGACTCCCAAATCGTTGACTAGTTAGGCATTGTGTTCCTACGAAATTGATTTATATAATCAATATGGTACTGAGACTGGACCTTAGCTTGAGCTTATACAATATCTTGGGTGTACGGAGCTTGTATTTGAACTTGAAGTGTTGTATAAAGCTTCCAGTAGAAGTAACCCACTCCAAAAGACAGAGTAATGCTGGTCTCGCCACCAGAACAAGAGCCAACATCCTGTATCACACAAAATGTTTGTGACTTATTATAAGCTGTCACATATGCATGTGAAAATCCCATACAAACACCCTTTTTATAAACACCCACAATGCATACAGAACATACATAGATGCATCTTCTTGTAATGGGTAAGTGTAGCCCATTACAACATATCAGCCTTGTCACCGTACAAATCTCCAAGTAGAAACCTGTATTCTATATCACACAGAATGATGGTGACCTAATAGGATATGTCTCATACGCATGTAGGGACATTATATCCCATAATACACGCAGAAAGAAAGTGAATGCATCTTCATGTAATGGCTAAGTGTAGCCAATTACATGATCAGTCAATGAAAGACGTCGACTGAGTAGTCAGTACCTATGCGGGAAATTACAAAGTTAGTAATTCGCGTGCGACATCTTGTTGTTTATCTTTAGGCACACGACCATCGCAACCGCGCGTATCCAAAAAAGGCAATTTCGTATCACTTTTCCCTTAAAGGGAATGACGCTTAATATGATCGATCTTGCTCAACAGAGCTGTGCAGCGTTACAGTCAAGTCTGTTTGATTCTTTCCTGGAAGTGAATAATCAGTGCATTTTTGTAGCTGGCAAACAGAATCAGTCAAGCGGTATCCGCTCTGATATGCCAGTTGAGCTCAATCCTTGGGGCCAGCTAAATCTTATATTGTATTTCTTACCCGAAGTGAGATACGCGAGCGTTTCGTTTCTTATTCTAACAGACGATCCTGTAAAGCTTTGACATTCAAAATACACGCAAGAGGATAAACTGTAGACTGTCCTTAGAACGCGGAGCCCAGAGCTCTTCAAGTATTTTTCAATATATTTGCTCAAATTTGCATACTGTTTGAACTAGCACTGAATGATATTTGTTTACTTGTAGAGCGCAATGCGGGGGCCAGCTGTAATAAGGTTACACATACCCTTGTATGAAAGGAACGGGTCGGTGCGGCGGTCCATAAGTGTGGATTACACAAGTTGATGTAATCACACTGTGGTGTGGCTACACCGTAACAAGAAGCCACCACGTGGTAGGATTACCAGTAATGCATATTAATGGTTTTACTATATTAATTAGGTATTACTATATTCATTAGGAAAACCTAGGGTTGACGGCTCCGCCACAACTAAAACATTAAAATACGGTTTCAATTTTTAACGAAAGAGCGTCTTACCTTGGTTAAGCTTAAAAATATTGAAGGTAGCGGATTGCGAACCGCTACACTCGTACTGGTTATTGGAAAGAACGTAAGGCCGGTGACCTTAGCTAAGCAAAGAGCTACGGCAGTCCCGCTGCACTTGGTAGCACTCATAGTCAATCTACGCCTGAGTCGTTACGACTGATATTCTGTGAGAAAAATGAACAGTCCTATTTGCCCCAAGGCATGCAGGATGAGCTTAATAAGCTGATATCCCTGTCAGGCCATGAGGGCGTGGAGCACCTTGTTGCGCAAGGGCCGGAGGCCATAAGCGCGCGCCTAGAGGCGTTTATAAATACTCTATTAGAGGAGAACTTACAGCAGAAGCTGTCAGCGCGGACTGCGTCTATGACACCACCGTCTACGACAGATGATTACTTCCAATCCAGGCCGCTCATGGTGAGCGTCAAGACTTTCGAGAGAAAAGATAGCGAGAATTGTCTGCTCTGGATGAGAGATGCCGAGATGGCTATGGCATTCGCCATGCTCCAAAACAAGCAACAGCGCGTGGCGCTAGCTATCTCCAAGCTCGGGGGCCGAGCGCGAGAATGGGCACTAATGTGCAATACTTCGGTTGAAACTGCATTCCCTCTTGGAAAGAGCTGAAGCGTCAGCTTTTGCGAGTACTCTAGCCGCCGAAGCAGGCATGTCGCGTGTGATCACGTTTCCTTGCCGATCGACAGGGCTCGAAGAAGTCAATGGGCTCTGTCCAAGAGTTGAGAACTCTTATTGCCGGGATGACAGCAAATTTTTTCCCTGAGACGGTCGCATTGACCGTCTATATGGAGGACCTTCGCACTGGCATGGTCAGAACGGAAGCCTTTTGTGTGCATCCGTCTTCTTTTGAAGAAGCAGTGAACGTGGTTTTGAATGCCAAATTCAACTTCAGGCCGGCACGACTTATTTGGAATGCACACCCTCAGAGCTCGTCGAGCGAGCCTGAGCCAATGGATCTCGGCTATGCTGAGGACGAGAGGCAGAGCTCCGAGCTGCCGAGCAGCGTTTGAACACCTAACGGTGATTTGTCTGTGGAGACATCCGGCACCTTCGGACTGATTCCCCCCTGCGCAAGGCGCGTAAAGGTTCATCAAACCGAAATCCCGCTTCTAACCATCTTGGTTTGACGCGGGGAAACGAGAAAACCCGGTAGGCGAGGAACGCCCTACTGGAGGTAAAGCTGAGTTATGTCGTGCCCCAAAGAGGTAGAGGGCAGCAGGGCCCAGCCCCGAAGAGCTCCGTATTCGTGAGAGCGTGTATGCAAGCCGGCTTGCCGGTCGTAAAAATGGCGATGAAGGGCTTTGAAAAGCCATTTAAGATCCCTACCGATTTCGGTGCGTCGGGCAATCATGCTCGACGCTCCACGGTCGAAGGAAGTCAGCTGTATGCTGAGGCGCTGGAAGCGCAGTTCTGTGACACTGCCACTGTTCGCTTAGTGACGGGGACTTCAAGCTTCTTTTGATAGCGTGGAACGCTGCCTAGTCTTAAACTTGGATTCGAGGTGTGACCTTATCCCCGGCATGGCATCGTTGGAACCCTATGAGCCATGGATTGATTGGAGGTCGAAGACCTTGGTCTAGGCTTCGCACGTCTCCCGGTGGAGCTTTGGTGAGTCTTATACCCAGCTCTGCTAGGAAGCAGAAGCGCTATTGGTGCGGGCACTGGACTGGGACGGTCAATGTGCTGGATATCGGAGTATCCGAGCTGTCAAACATCAAAGGATTTTTGGACAGGTGTCCGAGCGTGGCTCGCGGGCTGAACATGGAGTGACACGTATCTCACTGAGCGCTGCTCGGAGCAGTCGCTGCATGCCGCGAGTGACGTGGTCGGCCAAGGACCGAGGCATCAAAGGCGGGGCATTTGTGATGCACGTGGAGTGGCACGTAATCCACTGAGCGCTGCTCACGCTTCGAAGCAGTTGCTGCATGCCAAGAGTGGCATGGTCAGACGAGAACCAAGGCATCCTGGGCATGGCCCTTCTGATGTGCGTGGCACGCAATTCACTGGACGAAGACTGCGGAAATAGCAACTCTATGTCGGATGTTGTTAATAACATCAAGGATCCGATGGATCAGGGAGTGGGGACACTAGACGACGCCAAGTGCGCGTTCCCACTGGTCTCGATGAGATGTCAAACTGTTATGAAGAGGAGACGGCGAAGCCGTATGATATCTGCAAGACGTAGGGCATCGATCCTGACCCAGGGTGTGTCTACCGTAGAAAATAGCGCACAGCTAGATACCTTTGTCGACGGGAGAGGAAAACGGCGTCACCCCTGAGGCTACTCCCGCGGTGAATGCTCTTCTTGAGCTGGACGAGATGTCTTTTAAAGAGTTTAATGGTGCCTTGAAGGCAAGCAATTTAGCTGAGGTTATCATTAAACGGCCGAACGAGAAGATTAATTCGTCGTCGCTTCTAGATGAAGCTTTCCTGGAGGACACTACGATAGTGCTGGGCGCACGAAGTGGAACATCGATCCTGGCGAGGCCCTCGAATCCATATTATCCTTTGGTCAAGACATTCCAAATCTTCGTCTTCAAAGACCCGCCATCGATCCTACATCCGGACCAAGGTGTGCGTCACGATATTGACCTGCTTCCGGGAACAAATACTGCGTAACACGCCAATGGCCCCTGCCCAACGAGCAGTGCGACGTCTTTGACACTTTTTTCCGTGCTAAATATGAGGCAGGACTGGAGCGTAAGAGCAATTCTCTCCCTTCGACACCCACGTTTCGTGTCCGGAAGCCGAACGGCATGTGGCGTATTGCTCACAATAATCCAAACGCTGCCACCAATCCGGCACATATGCCGGTTCCTGGTAAAGATGTTCTCCAGAACATTATGGTTGGCCGTACAAAGTACAGTGCACTCGACTTGGATAATGGTTATCACCAATTGCTCATGAGAGAAAGTGAA